ATAGAGGCTTGGGGGAGAGGGGGATGGGAGATATCTGTAATACTATCAACAATTAAAATATATTAAATAAATAAATAAAACAGAAACAAACTCATAGATACAGAGAACATTTTGATGGTTGCCAGATGGGAGGATGCGTGATAATGGGGAAAGGATTAAGATGTGCAAACTGCCAGTTATAAACAGTCACCAGGATGTAAGGTACAGTATGGCTAATATAGTCAATAATATGGGTGATAACTATATGGTGTCAGATGGGTACTAGGCTTAGCAGGGTGAATACCTTATAAGTTATATTAATAACTAATCAATATGTTGTACACCTGAAATTAATATGATATTACATGTCAACTGTAATTGAAAAATAAAAGTTATTTTTTAAAAGGACTGAATTCATTCAAAAAGTGAATGAATTCCCTTCCTCTCTAAAATCAATTTTTTTAAAGTGTTTCTTGAGCACCTATTATACTCCAGGTACGAGGTAACAAGTGATATAAACAGAGATTTTGCCCTTAAGGTGTTTCTAGTCTAGGATGGAGATAAATATGTAAAAAATAAATGCAACGGTATCTATAATAATAAAAGTGTAATATGCTAATTAGACTGGACGTCCTTCTGGATGATCTTCCAGACAAAGCCCAGGTCCCGGGTGCCAGAGGGAAGCCAGTGCCGGCAGCTGGGGGAAGGAAGGCCTACTCTTGCACAAATTTTGTGCATCAGGCCTCTAGTGTTACTAAAAGGAAAGAATTCTGTACAGGGGGTTGTGGCGCCAAAGCAAGGAGTGGTGGGTTTACCTTGGGGAAACAGAAAAGGCTTCTCAGTAACTTGAGCTGAATCTTGAAATTTGAGTAGGCAAAGGGAGTAGAGGAGGATTGGGAGAGGGGAGGCATCCTGGGCAAATAGGCAGCAAGAGTTTCAGAGAGATGGTAAATTTTAAGGAAATTCATGAGGCTGGGACCAGGAAGAGGTAAGTGATGTGGTGGGAAAGAAACAGGAGGCCCATGAGGAGACATGTGGGGTGTGCTGGGGAGAGATTACAAGGGCCTGCAACAAGGCATTGTTAGCAGGAATAGAGTTGGAGGAGTAAGATAGATGCTAAGGAAGTGGAAGACTCCATTTTCAACTCGTGCTGATAGAGAAGAATGTGGAGAGAGGGCAGAAGAGAGGGAGAGAGAGAAAGATTGATCCAGTGTGATGCCCTGGTTCTTGGCTCGGGCAACCAGCTATAGGATGGTGTCATTTACTGAGATGTGGGACTCATAAGGAATGGAAAGATTTGGGAATAGGGTAAACCTGCTCTTTGACAAACCAAGTTTGGGGTGCCTCTTGGAGTTATGATAGAGGGGTAGTGTATGGCCCAGTTAACGGTCCACTGCTTTGTATACGGAAAACATAATGTCTGAGAAAGATCAAAGGCCTGTCTGACTTGTTCACATTTGCATCCCAGTGGTGGGTACACAGTGGACCTTTAATTAATATTTGCTGAGTGACTGACTGAATGCATGAATGAATGTGTTTGATAGTGGGAACGCAGCAATGAGTATCTTCTGAATCCATCCCCTGGGAGCTTGCTGTCTGTCTGAGGAGACAAATGCATAGACAAGAAGTGTCAAACCGCATATTAAATGTTTGAATCGAGGTTGTTGGGCAGTAAGGACTGGGAAGGGAGGGAGCGACTTAGACTTTGTGCTGGGTTTTAAAGAACATATACAAGTTTTCTAGGCAGAGAATAGGAAAAGACATTCTAGGAAAAAGGAATAGACCATCTCAACCTGTGGGTCGCGACCCCTTTGGCAGTCCAACGACACTTTCACAGGGGTCGCCTAAGACCATCCTGCATATCGGATATTTACATTATGATTCATAACAGTAGCAACATTACGGTTATGAAGTAGCAATGAAAATAATTTTATGGTTGGGTCACAACATGAGGAACTGTATTTAAAGGGCCAGAAGGTTGAGAACCACTGATCTAAAGGCTTAGAGGGGTGAAAGTGTATGGCATGGTCGTCCAGCTAAGGTTTCGTGCAGCTGTCTGTCCAAATGGCAATCATTATGCCTTTTGTCCCCTTATATGGAAATCTGCCCCATCCACAGCCCTTGCTGAGGGGAAGCTCTGAGTTAGTAGTACTTGCTTTACACAAAATGAAAGTGCTTCTCAGCCACAGGTGGCCACTTGCCCAAGAATTTTGGATTATATTCTGGGTATTTTGAATATAGTGGTATGAGACTCAATCTTGTTAGAAAATGCTGATATTTTTGTTTTATCAGGCTGTTGGGCTGGTTGGATTTAGGTAGCAAATTCCTACCCGTCTTCTGTGGTGGTGGTTTTAATGCCAGTTTTGTTTTCCAGACTTTTGTAATGCTATCTGTCCCATGTGTGTGCCACCCAATGGCAAGTCTGGAACCTGGGTGGTGGCTTGTCTCAATTCCATTTTCAACTTCTTTGGTAGTCTGTCTGTGATATGATCTATGTAAGTGCAATTCAGAAGTGAGCGCAGGAGTTCATAAACAACATTTTGGGGTTCCTTTCCTAAGCTCCATCTCTTTGGTATCTCCAGTGCTTCCCTGTTTCCTGGCTTCTCCCTTTTTGATCCTCCAGCAAAAGTTGGGGTGTAACTTACCCTACGCTGCCATACACTTACTGCAACAGTGCCCTCATCTGAATTGAAGTGGTAAGAGGACAGAGAGAGAAAAAAAGCAATCGGGGTTTTCCCCATTCTCTTGGGACTATACCTCTTCTGATTAGATAGGACGGTTCCCCTTCTTCAGAGTTGTAGGTTCCTATAGGTTCCCACTCTGTGGTCATTCCCACTCCTTAAGCCAGACCTGAGAGTTTTCCCTGAACCCCGCTCTGTCCATGCTGATATACATTTCTGGGCTTGAGGCTGCCTTGAAGTCAGCTTAGGAATTACTGGAGGGGGAAAATGGTAAACTCCCCCAGTTTGCATTCTGGTCTTTTCCTTCAACCCAACTGCTACTACTACTATCCCAGCCCTTAAGAAGCTGCTGCATGCATTCTACTCAGGTCTTTCACCGCTGCACTTAGTGGGAAAGAGGAGCCATGGTTTCCTCCTCAGGGACTTCCGCTGTGTGTATGTTGGCAAGCTGTTACCTGTATTCTGTCTGTACCTCTTAGTGCTCTTAATCTCCTAATCACTTTCTTCACTTATTTCATTATGTTCACTTATCTCATGTTCATCTTCTAGATGACGGTGCTTTCTGTTCCTCGTTGTACTTCGTCTTCATTCCTGTTGTGATTTTTCTTTTACTTCTATTTCTTTTCTGAGTTTTACTAATTCTCATTTTCATCCCTGCTATTGTCTGGTCAAACCATTACTGAATTATTGTATTTTCTATTTTACAGTGTTTTTAGGGGCAATTGCTTCATATTTTTAAGTTCATGGTGGTATCTTTGGATATATGTTTTTATTCAGTTCGTGAAAATATATTTCTGATTAGTGTTTTCTATAGAAATTATTTATCCTATTTTCATGTTTAAAAGTATATACTATCTCTATTTAAATATTATATTAATTGCTTTTTTAACTTATATTTGAATGAGTTAAGTTTTTCTCTATCAGTTATTTGCAGAAATTTCCTGTTGACACTGGGTAATGGAGGGACAAGAATAGCCGCCTATGGTGTGCAGTTCAAGGGTTCCCTTTCCTGTTTCTAGAAAGATGGGCTGTGTCCTTCAAATATGATGTTTTTAACTATGGGTGCCTCCCCAAACCCATGCAAGTTCAAGAGGGCTTGGTCCCTTCACTGAGCACTGCCAAGGGACCCAGCCAGTATCTTTCAGTGTCATCTCACCTTCCAAATGGGTTATTTCTGAGTTCTGCCACTCATACGCCCCTGTAACTACTCCTTCTTCCACGGAGCTCTTACTGAAGAGCTTTCTGTGCTGCTGCTGCCTTTGGACACATGTGCACATAGTTTTGAGTTTGAAGCATTTCTCTGTCTCCTGTATTGCTGAAAATTAGATTTTAATTCCCTTTGTTGTTTGATGTTCTTTATAGGTTCAAAAATGAGAAATGGGAATCACTTGAGGTCCTCAACTAAAGAACTACTGAAAGATGTGTACTTCCTTGAGAAGAGATAGTATCTCAGAAGGAAGGCATGGGATGCCAAGAGTACAAAAATATATGTTAGTAAATACGTTGTTCACTTTAATTAATTTTTTGTTTAAGG